CTTACTGCTTTTTAGCTTTTGCCTTTCTGAGTATCAACAGGGAAAACAAGACTGCCAAAGAGTTTACTGGGTGGGGAAACGCCTCAGACATAACTCATTAGAATATAAGAAGGAGAAAACAAGTCATGTGACAAAACCAATTGTGATTCCAGAATTCAGTTAGGGAAAGAAAACGGAATATTATGATGTCTGGATCCTCATCAATTCATGGTAACAAACTAAATGTGCTAAGAAATGAAAAATTTCCTCTTTGGGCTCTATCAATGTACAAATGCAATTTCAAAATCAAGACAAAAATATCTCCAAGTGCATCTGTAGATTTAAGAACTGGAAACTTCTAAAAGGAAAAATTACCAGAGCTGTAAGATCACTGCATCGGGACTGGTGCTTTCAACTCAACTAAATGCCAGAGGCTTCATTCACCTTAGTAATGTGGTTACAATAAATAAAGCCAAACAGAATGAAAGCAATTAAGAGACATGACAGAAGAGATTTTTCAGGTGGAAACTGAAACCAGAGGGAAAAGTGATAAGGTAGATGGGACAAAAACATTTAATATTAACACGTGTGTACTGCCAAAAACTATGTGAGGCTGCTAACCCAAAGACTCCGAGGAGGTCCCTTCCCTGTGACTTTTCAGTTTAAACAGGTGTAACAAAATAAAAATAGAAATTAAAAAAAAAAAAAAAAAAAGGAAGATCATCTTGTCCACAAGGGAGCAAGGCATGACCGCAAAGAGAAAAAGCAATCAATGTGTGATCTGGGTTATTTCTCGAGCCTTTGGGGACAAGGCTTTATATTGAAGGGTGTTTTTTTGAGGGGGTGGGGGTGAGGGAGGAGAAGGGTGTAATTATAATAAAAATCTTCCAAAAATGTTAGCTATGGGCCAGGCGATTTCTAAGTAGCTGACTTATGTTAATTTAGTCCTCACAAATGGTTATATATAATGCAGGAACTATTATTACTACGTTTTACAGATAAGGAAGCAGAGATACAGGAAAATGGACTCGCCTAGAATCCTACAGAATGAATGGACTTCCTCTAATAGGAAGAAGGGAAACTTGCTGAAAGATTCATCTTTCTGTCTGTTCAGAATCCTGCTAGGTGTCTTGCACAACATCCAGAATAATAAATAGCACAAGACAAGCAGAGTAATTAAAACTAAAAAAGGGTTTAGATTAGTTTCAACAAAAACCTCCCAAATGAAAGAATTTACAAGAAAAACAAATCCACTGAGCAATACTACAGAATGTCCTTTGTAGAGATCAGAACAGCCGTTCTGGATGGTATTAAAAATCCCTTCAAGTACTGAGGGGATTAACCCAGGAATTCGTTCTAGGCCTGTAAATAGCAATATTTGGCTTTACTCAAGGAGAGAAGTACACAAGAGTCTCCCCTTGTGTCCAATAGCTCGTCCATGCAAGGACAGTGCATCTCTTGCCACTGTAACTGCCACTTTCTAGAACTCAGCCTGGGCATATGTACTTAATAAATATCTGTTGAATAAATGAAATAAAAGGAATAAAAATATGAAAATGATGTGTTTGTATAAGCCTCGAGACAGACTGGAAGGTTGAGATTATGACTGATTCAGAAGCCAGCCTTGAAGAGATGGGAAGGGAAGCAGGACTCTAGCAGTGAGAGTCAGAACCCGAAGCAAACAAGAGTTGGACTTGAGAGTCAAAGAAAATCAATGATAGGAGCAGCAGCAGGTAACATGTGGAAGCACTTCTCTTGTTCCAGGCACAGGATAAAATGTGCCACGTAGAGAGTAACTGGTTAAGTGCTCAGATGGACATCCACCTCCTCCAAATAGCCTTGATCAAGTCCCTCAGTCTCTGTGCCCGACTGTCCTGTTGTCTCATTATCTGAGACAGTCCTAGCACCTACTCATTAGGCATGAAGCTGCAAAAGTGAAATGAGAACCTCACTGGAGGGAGAGAAATGGGAATAAGCAAAAAATTACAAAAAACATTTACAATTTCAATTTCACATAAATATAGGCATCATCAGTGCAGCCTGGTGGGTGTGAGAGCTAACTCGAGGAAAGCAAGTCATTCTCAAAATAGTGAAAATGGAACTTATCCATATACCACCAGGCTGGGCTGATTATGTCTATATTTGTGTCACCTCTTATCTTGAACTTACCCCCCAACACACAATTTCATTTTCAAAAAAACTTCATTCCTTTCAAATATTTGTTTTCATGAATGTCTCCATAATCAAATCATGAGTCTCTTGAAGACTGGGAATGTATTTTAAATATCTTTCATTCTCAACTCCTAGAATCATGCTTGATATACAATTGTGCTAGAATGATTGCATGAATGGTAGACAAGACCACACAAGAAAAATGTGAGTGAAAATTTTAAGAGTTTTTAGGTGAAAGATGTAGGAAACCCTCTCCTAAGAGAAAACTGATGAGAACATAGAACTATATATGTATATGCTATACATTCAAGTTACATATATAAACAAAATTTCTTATTAAGATCTCCCAAAAGTGATTTCCATTTAACTCCACTGGTCACTGTTAATTCATTTCATTCCATTTCTTACTAGATAAGGAACACAAGTTCATGCCTCTTCCTATTTTGAACAAGTAAGAAATTTAACTTAAGGTTGAGAAGCGGGATGATGGAGAGCCTTAGAACCATCTGAGAGGGGTACTCCTCCTGGCAGGGAGGAGCAGGGGTCATGCCAACCTCTTGAATTACCCCTACGGTAAGCAGAGCTATCTGAGCATCCCTATGTCAGCGATGTTGTGGCAGTCAGTATTGCTATTTCTACAATCTATCTTCTTGAATTTCTCCCTTGACTTCAAGATTTTTCCCTGGATTCACACAACCTGACTGAACTTCTAAGAAACCCTCTACTGGTATATAAAGGTTTCATATCTTCACACACTGACCCTAAAACACTCCACTCTTTCCTCCTGAAATTTTCACTCAAGCTACTGCCTCTCAAGCAACTTGGTTTCAGTTGGTCACACATCTTCCTAGTATGTACCTTATATTGGGATGAGCTTCTTATCACATAAAATACACCCTGAATCCTAGGAAAGCTACACTCTTACCATGTGGTTAGCCTACTTTTCCTGCCTTCTTAGGTGAGACAGAGCCTAGTGTGCAGTCCTCTTCCAGACAGAGTAGCCCCTCAAAAAAATATTTTTAAATAAAGAACTTAGTGAAGGCACAATTAGATTCTACTCAGAAAAATCACTTTCTCCTTGAAACAGTCTCTTGACTGAAAACAGAACGACTAAAATTGAGGGGGTAGAATACTGTATGCCAAACACATCCTCATTAGCCTGGAACTCATGTACCTGTCCTAGTCCTGGAAGTTTTACATTTTACCTATATCCCAAATTACCACAGAATAACCATCACACGAACTAAAACGTTGCACCAAGCTCTATGGTATTCTCTTCACTGCAATGTTCATTACTGCAATTGTTAGGGCAGAGGTTTCTCAGCAAAATTAAACCTTGCTTGGGAACAGACAGATTCCCACCTTATACACCCCTGTCCTCTAATTTTTCTTTTATCGTATTGAATTTCAGTGTTACAGTGGCATAGAGTCCAGGCTACAAAAATTCCCTGAAGCGTTCATGTCAATTGTCCAGACACATTCACTATCTGTATCATCCAACCAACATCCATAATAAACACCTTTATCAATTAATCAACAGTTTCTTACACCTGGAGGGGGTTCAATAAAAGTTTTGTGTCTAGCCTAGTAATAAAATCCTTAATGAAGTATCAACCACACTTAAAAACCAATAAAATTCTCAAACCATACATTTTGTTCCCATGGACTTTTACAATATATCCTCTGACTATAATTCTATGGTCACTGAGGAGCAGAGTCACTAGAAACCACAAAGTAATATTAAAATATTCAACCTAAAAGAGCAGTCTTTTAAAAATTTTTATGTAGAAAAAGGATTCCATGCTAAAAACACTCATGCTTTAGAATTTTTGTAGTCATATGACAAAATCAAATGCCTTAAAGGATAAACCAGAATTTATCAGCCACGGTTGATTTAAATATTAATGCTATGAAAGTCAAAGGTAGCTATACAAAAAGACTGGCAGAAGTAAACTTGTCCTAGATACAGCTCTTTAAAACACCTGAGAAGATGAGCTAATACATTAGGGAGATAAAAATAAGGTGGCATCAAACACTATTAAAATGGCATAAAGTTTGTGTTTCAATTGCATCAAGTTAAAAATAGGTCAGTTAGAATGAACTTAGAAAAAAAGGGGGGGGTCAATATCACAAAGTGATTAAAGAGATGGAAGAGAACTTTCTTCTAAGTCATTAAACTCACCAATATGATCCTGAACTTCAGAGCACTTACCATTTGCCTGTGCTATTAGAGAATTTAGTAGGTTCACTGAATTGACTGATTTCTTTGTTAACCTATTTACATGGGTTAAGACCCTGACTGACATAAAACACAACCAAAAAATCCCAGACAGAGAGTGTAATGAAAGACTGAGTGATGTATAGTTTGGGGTACAGCCTATCCAATAAATGTGCTTGACCAGCAAGGAACCCGTTGGCAAAGATTTATTATCGGAACAAATACATTCTAAAAAGATCTAATACAATAAAACCTGGAGTATGAATACAAACTACTCTAAAATATAGTTCGTTGCCCTGCATAATGTATGGCTTATCTTTCTGTTATATTAAAATTTTCTTCATACTTTTCGATCAGGAATAAATGTTTTGAACAAATAAAACCAAAGAATATGAAGTGTATGAAACAGAACCACAAGCATGGTTCTCTAATTAAAAGAAAAAAAGTTTATTACTTAGAACTCTTCAACAACCTTTAAAACATATATAAAGAGAAACACATATCTCTATTACCAAGGGAAAAGGTAAAAATGAGTCACCTGCTAGAATAACAATTTTTTAATTACATTTAACATTAATACTGAATTAGCACAAATTTAAGCCAGACACAGAAAGGATTTTAAATGTTATACCTCCAAGTTCCTTTACATTCAAGATGGCATTCTGGAATGGCACTGCTTTTATACTAAAACCTAAAATTAAACAAAAACATAAAAAAGGAATTAGCAGCTTTTCTTTTAAAAATGCATAAAATGCTCAAAGCCCTTTTTAGGCTGATTAAGAGCTACTTTTCATAGCTTTGTATTTATGCCGGAAACAATTCAAGATACATTGATAACACATTATCCTCTTCAAATTTTCAAAACATAGTTGATTATTACAGCAAAATCTAACACTTTTTCAAAATATTGACCTATTCTTTAACATGTTATGTAACTTGTAAATTTTACCAGTAGTGAGAAAGAAATTTGGAAGTACAGAGAAACTTCAAAGAAAATATTAGATCTATGAGGACCTTTGCATCTAATTCCTAAAGTTAATTGTGTCTCACATATAACTAAGCAACTCTAGAGAGTAAGGTAACTAAATTAGAACCATCTTATATTAGAATTACATAGGATTTATGTTATAGTTTTAAGGGCATGGTTAATATCATACATATATTTAAAAGTGCAACTGTAATTGTCTATTTATGTACATTTTATAATACATGCAGTAAGTGATTTCTATTACAATATGTATTCAGAGTATAGTTTTTTTATTATATATTTAGGACTTAACTATTATCATTCAAGTCATGATTTACTTCAACATATCTGGTTCACAGGTTTTAGTATAAAACCTTAGCAGTTACAACATACATGCTTATATACCTACACACATACACCAACAAATACACTATTTCTGAAAGAATCCCCAAGAACCAAACTAGTGAGGATTCTTGGGACAACTGAGGACATGGAGGTCTTCAATATAAGATTCTTGTTTATTAAATATAAGATTCTTTTTGTTTCATTTGAATGTTTTGCTATATACAAGGATTTTATTTTGATTTTGATTTTTTTTAAAAGATTTTATTTATTTATTTGACAGAGAGAGACACAGCGAGAGAGGGAACACAAGCAGGGGGAGTGGGAGAGGGAGAAGCAGGCTTCCCTCGAAGCAGGGAGCCCGATGTGGGGCTCGATCCCAGGACCCTGGGATCGTGACCCGAGCCAACAACAGATGCTTAATGACTGAGACACCCATGCGCCCCTATACAAGGACTTTTTCAATTAAAAGCCCTACTAATTTTTTTTAAGATTTTATTTATTTGTTTGACAGAGAGACACACAGAGAGAGAGGGAACACAAGCAGGGGGAGTGGGAGAGGGAGAAGCAGGCTCCCTGTCAAACAGGGAGCTCGATGTGGAGTTCGATCCCAGGACTCTGGGACCATGACCCGAACTGAAGGCAGATGCCTAACGACTGAGCCACCCAGGTGCCCCAAAGCCCTACTAATTTTTAAAAGTTAATTTATTCAGTAATTTCCAACCACCTAAGTAATCTAAGGTTTTTCACATTAGTATGTGCAATTTTAAGATAATTTCTTAGAAAAGGGATGATGACTTAACAGTATCAGATACTATGAAATTATGATAGGTGCCTAGAAAGGTAAAAAGATACACTGTATGCTGTGGATAAGAACAATTCTTTTACATGGTTCTGCTTTACTGTATAAAAACAGAAGTCAATATGTATCTTTTTATATTCTGCCCTATTACTACCACTCTTTTGCTGTATGTTGTCCTAGCACTTTAAAATTCTATATAGTATCTTCCACTTCAGCCAGTGAATATCACCTAATGGTTAAAAAAGGACTTTGGAGTCAGAATTAGGTTCAAATCAGCTCTGTGACTCTGGGCAACCTACTAGCCTTGGCTTTCATCCGGAATGAAGAATCTGATAGAATCTACCTCGTGTAGTTTTAAAAATATGTAACGTATGTATTATGTTTATCACAGTGCCTGATACAAATAAGCATACAATATATGATTGCTAGCATTCTCTATCAATTGGCTCTGTATTGATGATTTCACCATTAGCTATGCCTGTCTCTTGCCTGCCTGAATACATTATAGACTCTTAAGAGAAATCCTGCGGGCTTATTTATTAATCTAAATACTTAGTTGGAGCTACAGATATTACCACCAAATGAAAAGTACCGTTATTAGAGTGACAGAAGTGTGAACAGTTCAAATTTGTGGTATAGAATGTGAATGTTCATTGGGCCCTCTAGGAATCTTCCAAAACATACCCCTCCTGTGTGGGTTTTAGGCAGACTGACGACACAGTCACTACAGCGTTACGGTTAATGGCACACGCAGTCACTGAATCTTAGTAAAATAGCAGAAGGAATGAGGAGGCAGCCCCGCGTGGCTGAAGCACTGGCATGTACTTGGGCCTGCAGAAAAAGCCTCTCCAGGTGTCTGGCCTCTGGGAAATTAAGGAGAGTCAGTGCCAATCACAATATTCCTGCTGGCACCAAAATTTGCCTGCAGGAGACATGGATGTTTGACTGTACCTACCTACCTCACAGGGGTGTCATATGGATTAAAGGGCAATGATTGTGAAATCCTGAAAACAAAAAGCTCTATGCAAATGCTCAACAGTCTATTAGTGGTTATGGTCAGGACAACTCCAGTATGGATTTTCCAGAGAAGTGAGAAAGGCCCCAACTTTGAAAAAGACACAGTTATGGAGTACATCAGCGATATTTAATTTGCTGTGATTCCTAAAAGCTGACAATATGCAGGTGCCCAAGGAAAGGAAAAACCTTCCAGAAATTGCTGCACCCATATGCAAAATACGACTTTTGAAATTTATAATCCAACAGGCAGTTTATATCATTGTTACCCTCTTTAACCCTCACAGATATAATAAATTGACTGCAAAAATGTCCTCAAATGTTCACGCTAAGCAAAGTAACCTAGCAATGTTATTTATAGGCATATAAATGTTTCTGCAGAATACGCACGTTTTCTCTCCAAATAGAACATGTGTGGCTAGATTTATACTGCAAAGGTACATACAGTTTTCCATTTTGCTGTCTTCATATTTTTACAGTATAGCCGTGGTAATGAATGTTCAGAGGACAAAGTCTACATAATCAGTCTAGGAAATAAGAAAAATGTACTACACATGGAAGAGAAACAATTTTTAAAAAAAAAATTTTAGTCATTCTAAATGTTTGCAAGGATTAAAAAGAATTAAAATTTAAAGCTACACTTTCAGTTCACCAGAAGGGCAACCAAGAAGGGTGACTATCAGATCAACTCTTCTTTATTCCTTTACACTGGGTTGGATGAGGTCAAAGGAAGGAGGGAGAAATATTAATATTTAGTGGGATATAATGGTCAAATCATCAAAATACCTTTCTCAAAGGTTGCTTTGAGGAATAGAAACCACCAGGATAGCATGGGCTCCAAAGAAAGACTATCTGGGTTCCAATTCTGGCTCTACCGTTATCAACTGAACAAGTAACTTAACCCTTCTGTGCCTCAGTTTCCTCACGTATAAATGAGAACAGATGGCACTCAGTGCTATAAAGTGTTGAGTAAATAAAGCTAAAATTTCAGAATACTAACAGTCAACAGCTGACTACTAGAGGCTTTAAATTTCTCCCAGTCAAGATCACATGCGGTCTCAAGGTCTGATATATCATGAAAGCAGTGGTAAAAATTAAACCTACAGAATGAAAACATTTGAGGACTTTTATAGACTAAACATCTAGCATCTTCCATAGCACTTCCTTTCCCTCTCCTAATTCCAGTCAACAAAGCCTGTCAATTCCATCTACAAAACAGTTCTCAAATAGGTCCACTTCTCTCCATAACTCTGACCAAGCCACCACCACCATCTGGACAACTTCAAGAGCCTCCTAACTCAATGCTTTGCATCTCACATTGGCCTGCTCAATCACCTCCACACATCAGCAGGAGTGACCGTCTTGCAATTCACATCTGTTCACATCACTCCCCTGGCTAAAACCTACAGGTAGCTTCTCCCTACCCAGGGTATAGTTCAAAACATCCAACAAGGCTCGACCTGGTCTGGTTCTTCTTTCCTTTCCCAGGCTTATTTTGTATCATTTCCCCCTCATCTTCATCTTCAGTTCTCAAAACAAGCTATGTCCTTTCCAACTCGGGGCCCCTGCACATTCTGCTTCGTCGGTGCCCTTTGCCCTTCTGGCAAAGTCTTCATCCTTCAGGTGCAATTTTAACTCCACTTCATCAGGCAAGCTTTCCATGGTATTCCTCACATAGGGTGATTTTGGGGGATCCATGTTCTTCCAGTAGTCAGTACGTCTATGTAATTTTCAGTGATAATTACGTATCAGTTTCTTTGTTTAGGTCTGTTCCCCAGTTAGATGGCAAGAATCCCTACCAGAGAAAGGTTGTGCGGTATATCCTGTATGCCAGTGAGAGGCACGTAATATGATCGCAGTATTTCTTTAAAGATCTATGCTATAAGAGTTTTTATTTATTTCCTGATTTAACTGTCACAACAATCCTAACATCACAGCACTACTATCGAGGAGGAAAGTGAGCCAGAAATACTACTACTGGGTACCATCTTAAAAACTTCACCCTAGGCCTTGTCACCAAAGCTCTATACTGCCTCTGGACACCAACAACCTGATCGATCCACAGGATTCTGTCCAATTTTGAACTAAATACTGGTGAAACTGATTGTCAAAACACATACACACCTAATAAACCCACTATTCTGCCTCTTTATAAATAATTTAATACGAAGAACCAAAGTAAAGTGTTCTTGGGGGGCACACTACAATGCCTTATTAATGGAATAAAAATAGCCTGAGTTCAAAAAGTACTTTTTCATTGGCATTAACAAAACCAGGAACTTACTAGGGGAAAGAAATATCCAACTCGGCCATGACACTAGGCTTGATCACTCTTCCTTGTCCACAAAATAGGCATCCTCTGATGCTCTCCACAAGCAGTCAGTGCGCTGATGTCCTAGAAGTCCTAGCCACAGCTCTGAGACTCACCAGCCACATTTTTTCTTGACCTTGAATCCCTCATCTGCAAAATGAGTGGACTAGATAAGCTCCTTGAGGTTTTTTCTAGCATTAGTTTCCATTATTTATATTAAACAAGAAAGAGGAAATGACAGTAACAACGGAGTCA